AGAGTCACTCAGCCATGCCGGTCATCCAGAAAAATCTATGAAATCTTCCCCTGCAAAGCCTACAGAAATGCAACTAAAACAAAGGTAAACAAGCAGCACTATTTGACAGATCTGAATTCCAGATACATCATCTGGCTTTCTATTAACAAGCTTTAAGATCAACTAGAAGCACTAGAAAGCATGTGATCTGCAAAACCTATGCAAATGTTACACAGTTCTGCTTTGGCTTCATAAACACGCTGCTCTCCTGTATTAGGCTACAGGCACTGTGATCACTGTGAGGGCAGTCAGGCAGAGACTTGCCTTCTCACACCAGCCTTAAACCAAGACTGTTTTGCCATAGTGATCCCCAAAGCAAATCTGGGCTTATGCACTCTACGGACAGAGCAATCCCTACCTAAGTCTGCATATCAGAATCTTAATTGGAAAAAATGATGTATTAAAAAAACTGATAATAAACTTAATTTATAATATATTGATTCCTAGTTTGCCCCTGCTTCAGGATTTCTTTAGAAAGTAAGTCCACTCCTCAGCTGCTCCAGTCAAGTGCTTACCATACTCCTGAAAACGGGTTTCACTGAAATGCAACATCTGCTTTTGATAACAACCACACTGTTGTTGTGTGCAGGTAAAACATGTTCATCTTTCCACTGTATTCAACCAAATGAAGTCAATTATTAGATCAATATAGCTTCTTTAATTTAAGCTAAAAATGCAAGAAATCTAAAAAAAAACTATAGAAAAGGGCATAAAATGAATTGCTTATAAGATACCAAAGAAACTAACTGAAACATTCAAATTCTTGTCTACACACATTCCTGTCTACTTCCTCTCCTTTACAGGTGAAACATATTCTGGTAGTGCACTCCTCCAAATCGTATCAGCCAAATCTAGCTTTTGGGATTTTTCCTTAAGTAAAATAACCATTAGTTAATAAAAAAGAAACATGATTGCTTTAAAAAGAGTATTTACATTGACTAGTTATAGAGTGCTAAATGTCAAATTCAGATCACTTAACAGAGGTTCAAGTATGCTCAGTGAAGCATCATTTAAGTGCAAAGACACATTTATTTTTGTTTTTAATGGCTACCAGAGAAAAATAACTTATTAAAAATTATTTACATTAATATTAGTTTTGCATTTGAATCTTTACTAGTTTCCAAGTTGCTGATTTAAGAACAGTGTACAATAAAACAAATTCTTTCTTCTGTTGGACAAAAGATACACCTATTAAAAAAATGAAAGCTGAAGTCTGAAGTCAAATGGAGCTAAAGAAAAAGGCCACCAAAGTAAGGAAGCTGCTGCATGGATCCATTGAGGCAGGACAAAGATCAACTCTAAAAGGAAAAGAACACTCACATTAATATCATTTTTGTTTTAAAATCCAATAATTTTCTACACTATTAAGGAAAAAATAAGATTGGGCATTCTGCAATTCTGACAAAGCAAGAATGACACTTGCTCTCAAGAGTCACATTACTAACATAAAACCCCAAAGGAGAGGTCTTGCATCCTCCACTGTTGAGGTGGAGCAGGACATCTCAGACATGACACACGCCAGGGAAGGCTCCAGGGACAACTGCTGTCACAGCGCAGACCTCAGCTCTCAGCAGAAGATGCTGTACAGAGAGACTCGAGGACACACCCAGACTGCTCAGAGAGCAGCAAGGGAAAGCTCTGGGTTTGACACCGCAGGCTATTTCCTGAGCCAGCAGCCAGCCAGCCCCTTCCAACCACAACCAGCCTTCCCTGGCTGCTCCAGCGTGGGGCCGGGCAAGCACTGCCATTAGCTGCCATAGAGAGGTGGACTTCTGCCCTCGGCCACAGCGGCCCCTCTGCCCCTTAGGCTGGGATGGGCTGTGAACAAGTGTGGGAAGCGGCACTTAGTTGGCTCAAGCAGCTGTTCCTGATCGCCTTCCTCCCAGAAAAAACAACAGACTGGAGAGAAGCCGATCAAACACCACCATTGGACTGGACTGCTCAGGAAGTCAGGAATTCAGTGCTTGGTTCCATCTCGCTCAAGCAAAACAGAGCAACAAACACGCCAGTGTGACAGCATTTTTCTTCACATCCAGCAGTGAAAGCAACAGGAACATGTTAATCCATTAAAAACGGTCCTGAGATTCAGCACATGGTGAACTACTCACGAATGTATTTTTAAGCTCACCTTAGAGATCACTACACTGTCAGACAGAGACAGTCAGTAAATTAAATGAAAATTTTAAAAAACCAGCCAAACAGCATGCAAGCTACAAAGTAAAAAATGTTGAGCTAGCAACTTTAGACTTAGTATCAGATTTACTACCTCTAATGACAAGCATGCACTCATTACTTTTACAAACCTTAAAGGTACAAATTTGACTCAATCTAGTAATACAATAATACTGATAAAAATAACCTAATAGAGCAACAGCCTCAAAGGGGCAACAAAAGTAAATTTTACAAGAAAATTTTAAGTGACATAGAAACCTACTTTGCCATTTCACAGAACATTTAAACTTGCACATAGTGAGAAAATGCAACTGTGACACTGAAAATATTATTTAGCTTTTTAAATGTCATTAATGCAGTTCCACATGCCAAGCATTACACATTCATCTCTCCATGTTTTGGAAAGGATCGTTATAAACTGGGTAGAGCTCTTTCTTATTAATAGTGTGCTTATGTAAACTGAAGCAAACCAGATCTTTCATGTATAATGCTGATCCTCAGCAAAGCAAAAGCACCAGCTTCTGAGGCTGGAAAGTCCTGGATAAGCATCTTGAGCCTGAGGAGGTCTTCCACCATCACAGACACACCAAGAGGCTGCTGTTGACAGAAAGTCCTGCCCTTCCCCATAACCATGATCCTCACACATACAGCTGCCAAGAACCTACTGCACCAGTCAGCTCTGGGAAATTATATTACTAAGCACTAATATAATGAGGCAGCAGGCTGAGCCAGATTTCAGAAGCTGTCCATACTTCTATGTCAGATGGGTATGACTGTGCAATTGCACATCCAAACATAAATTTAATCAAAGATGGCAACCAGCAACACTCTTCTGAGTTGCCAATGAAGCAATAATATGAATAAAAGCATGATACCAAATAATTTTTTATTATTATTATTATTATTGGCTTTGCCTACATTTTTTTCTGTCCTAGGGTGACCTTTCTACAAAAACTTAATCTGAGCCTAAGCTAATATTCATGAACAGAGACAGCCTAAACTGAAAAACTGTAAATAAAAGCAAATGCACTTGCTTCAAATGTTTTGAAGCAGAAAAGTATTTTATATTGTGGTGGCTTTTAAAAAATAAAAACATGACCCATAAAAATGCAGAAAATTGTTCTTCAGTTTCAAAAACTTCTGCATTCAAGGACGGTGGATAATAGTGTGACATAATGAGTGTTCACAAGGCAAGGACAGCTGGAGTTTTAGACATAACTTATTTCCTGTGCTATTCTGAAATTAATCTCAAGCATGCAGAATAATAACTTCACATAATGGAAAAAATGCTTTGACAAGCTCTAGCTTTTGAAAGTACTTTCAAGAAAAGGTTCAGTAAAACATGAGATTTCACCTGTGATCTAGCAGTTCCCTCCATTCCCAATACCTTCTGAAATACAAACAAGATATAAATAATTTCCAACAAAGTCAGGAACTGGACAAGTTTAATGAAAACATCACAAGTTTTTTCAAAATTCTGCTGTTATCTGTAGATACTTTTCTCCTACCCCCTGTAATTAAAGTGCTAGAGTTTACATAAGACAAGCAAGTATAGAGTGCCTTGGTAAATTAGCATACAGCCAAATCAATTGATAGATGTGCTGCAGATGATCTACAGTCTCTAATGCAGTCGAATTCACAGTCAAAATTAAGGGAAACTCTCCCCTTTTGGAGAGGTAACATACCATTGTCCTGAGAGCTGGAATGCCTGATAAGGTATTATTTGATAAACACTGGACACCATGTTTCAAATTTCAAAGGCATTAACAGTCAGCAAAGAATGCCAAGTGAATCAAAGAAAGCTCTTGGGATTTTAATGCCAAGTTATGTTCAAATTTAGAGTCTTGATGAAGTCATTAGGCTGAGGAACAGGATCTGATTACTGTAAAATCTACTAAAGACAGAACATAGGTATTCTGTGAAAATTACTTTAGTTCTCCAACTGTTCTAAAAGGGATAAAGAACAAAGGCTAGTTTGTGCTTACTCCTATTTAAGTTACCTCTAGAGAAGTAGAGCATGGAAGAATTAATGACTGTGTTGTATAGTTTTTCAAAGCAGGTATTTTTTAAAGTAGTATGGTTAAAGCAGCTTGCAAAATGCAGTAATGACAGGCCTACAAAAATGCTCAGATTGCAAGCTATAATTTCATTAATTCCAAGTTGATATCTATGCTATGACGGATAACATCACTGATAAAGATGATGTTATAATTTCAGAGAGTAAGAACGTTTCCATTAATTCAACCCGCAAAGGATAAAGTTGAAAATACCCTGTCAGCAAATTCATACCTAGTTTTCTTCACCGCACTGAACATTTCCCTAGCAAGATAAGCGGATCTTAACACCCACCTTGGCCATCTGTTAGCAAAAAAGAAGAAGGGCTCCTGGCAGAGATGCCCGCACACTGCGCCGCACCCAGCCCGCAGGGCCCGGCAGCGGGCTCGGAGCGCGGCCGCCGCAGGGAGGGGCCGGCGGGGCGGGCGCGGGAGCGGAGCAGCGCCCGAGACAAAGCGCGGGGAGCGCGGGGAGCGCGGGGAGCGCGGGGAGCGCGGGGAGCGCGGGGAGCGCGGGGAGCGCGGGGAGCGCGGCCCCGCCGCCGCCGCCTTTGTCCGCAGCCCCCACCCCAGCCCCGCAGCGCCGCCGGCCGCGGGGGCTCCGCGAATGGGCAAGGCGGTGCCCGGGCCCCGTTGCCACCGCCCCGCCGCCCGAACACGCCTCAGCCGCAACACAAATGACCCGCCTGGCCCCGGGCGCCCGCCGGCCGCCTCGGCCCCGCCGCTGCCGCTCACCTTCCAGCCCCTCCATGGCGCGCCCCGACCGCCGGCTCGGGCTGGGCTCGGCTTCCGAGCTGGGCTCGGCTTCCGAGCGCCGCTGCTGTGGCAACGCCGCCACCGCCCGGCCCGCCAACAACCGCCGCTCCCATTGGCCGGGCGGGCTCTGCCCCGGCACCGCCGCCCCGCCCGCCCGGAGCGGGCGCACGCCGCGCTCCGCCGGGCCGGGCCGTGCCCCCGCCCGCCCGGAGCGGGCGCACACCGCGCTCCGCCGGGCCGGGCCGTGCCCCCGCCCGGAGCGGGCGCACGCCGCGCTCCGCCGGGCCGGGCCGTGCCCCCGCGGGCCTACACCGCGCTCCGCCGGGCCCCGGCCGTGCCCCCGCCCGGAGCGGAGCGCGGTGCCGGGCCCCGGCCGTGCCCCCGCCCTTAGGCTGCGCCTGGGTTCCCAAGGGAGCAGGGCTCCGGGTCTGGGCATCTCCCTGCAAAAACCTGGCGTATTCTGACTCAGGTGCGATCTGACGGGTCCTGAAGCCCATACGTTTAGGTTGTGCTGAGATCAGGGATCTCCTTCAAAGAGAAGCGCCTTTACGTGAAATACAGGATCACAGAATCGTTAGGGTTGGAAGGAACCCCTGGGGATCATCCAGTCCAAACCCCTGCCGAAGCAGGATCACCTAAAGAAGGTGATACAGGAACGAGTCCAGGTGGTTTTTAAGATCTCCTGAGAGGGAGACTCCACGACCCTCCTTGAATATGAAGACCAAAGCGAAGCACATAAGGAGAAATGATCGTGCAGCCGACAAAGCGTCCAGCGCTTCTGGATGGATATGGGCAGCAACTCGGATGGTGCCGGGGACCCTCCACCCTCAGCACCCAGTAGCTGAACCCAGTGTTGATGTGTGGCCTTATTGGGTATCCCTTTGCTGATGAGAAAGCTAGGATGACTACAGGAAGTACACAAAAAAAAAAAAAAAAATTTTCAGGACCAAAACCCCAAAAACAAAACACCGCACCCCACCCCCCCCCCCCCCCCCCCCCCCCCCCCCCCCCCCCCCCGTTATTTTCTTAACTGAAAGAGTTGCTAATAAAAGATTAGTATCTTGATGGAATCTCCTGCCACAGGATAACATTTGAGTATGGATGTTTTTAGAAAATACTGCTATTAAATTGCTGTTGGCTACTGAATATAAAAAATGCTTGATACATACAGAAATTCTTCTGATCCTTTCAGAAGAGGTCTCCACATTTTTAGCAACCAAAGCATTTCAATATTTCTTTCTTCAAGGTATTATTTTATAATTACTTCTTAAGATCTTTTATTTGTCTTTCTTGTGGCAATATGCCATGAACAACTAATAAAGTTTTTCTAAAGTACAATAAATCTTACAGAAATAATAGCTGTCTTTACAGGCACATGCAAATAATTTGTCTTCTTATGCTAGACAAGTTGGTTGATACAGATTCACTTGTCCATAGAATTACAGTTACTGTCCTTATCACAGCACATCTGTGAATGCAAAACAAAGAAACAAATACATAAAAACGACATTAAATTAGAGATTATGGTCATGTTGTCATCTCTGCATCCCCATGACACAGAACAAATAGACCCAGATGCTGCATACCAAACAGCCAGCATATAAATCATGACTAATATATGATTAACATCATCATTTGAGACCAAAAGCTTGCGTATATATGATAATTCCTGCTGCAATTTTTTCTAGTTAATTTAGTAAAAGTACATTTCAGATTTGCCTTTGGTCTCTAGAGTTTATGCTTATAAAATTACAGGCCATGCCAGAAGTAACTAGATTGCCACCAAGTTGCAAAGTTCTAAACTTTGCAAATGATCCTTTAAATCTCTGACACGGAACTTAAATAAGCCTATACCTAGCAAACATTTAATGATAAACTTACCATTAGGACAGTTTACCAGAAGTGCACTTCCTTTCATAACATTCCTATGTGTGGATTGCAAATTCAAAACTAGAGGAGAAAATGTTCTCAGTTTAGTGAAGGGCTTCCTATTAGAGGTGCATTTTGTTTGGTTTTGTTTATTGTTTCTCTTTGAAATGTTGGGTTATTTTTGTTAAAAACAGGGACATTTATATAACAGGGGTGTAATTACTACTTCACCTACCTTTAAAGTATCTACAGTGTGGTGTTCACATCTGAGGTGTCAACTTCTCCAACACAGTCTATAGATTTGCCTCTGTCCTTGATATGGTCTATGGGCATCTTGAGCCTGAGGAGGTCTTCCACCAGAGGCTGCTGTTGACCAATGCTGCTTGGCCAAATGTATCATCTGTTCCAAGCTAAGAGACAAGTGAATCATCAGTACCTGCCTCAGAGTAGGATTCTGCTGCAAAACTAAAAGGTTCTTTTGGCTCTTGTGGCTGGTGTCTGCACAGGGTGTTGTACAACTATAACTGTGGACAGCACACTTTAAAGGACTCCTGGTGCTGAAAAAGAGCTGTCTTTTAACTGTGGTGTCTGTGTGGGGAACAGGGGACGAGGCTTCTGTGGTCATAGCCACTGTGCTACATGAATGCCTTCACAAATTTATCTTCATACTGAAAAAAACCCCAACTCCGTGTTTTCCTTCTGTAGACTTACTGTGCCAAACTCAAGTCTTTGATGCAATGACATTCCCTATAAAATTTAGGATTTTTTTTTTCCAAACAATATGCTAAATTTATTAATTGCTAGTTAGCATCATGTATACTTGTGCCAACATTTATTTTTGGCTTATGTATTTTATTTTTTATCTCTTTTATGCATTTATAGGGAATTAGCATCCGTTATGCTTCAGTATTTGGTTTGTTAACCTAAACAAAATAGAGATCTTCAGTACTGTCTTCAGAAGCTCTGCTTTCCATTTCTGTAGCCATCATGGTACCCTTTATTGGGACAATTCCATGTTAGCTCATATTTTATATGTGGTCAAAATCTTAAACTGTCCCAGAGAAGTGATCTTACTGCACCACTAAGACTTCTTTGCCTCTGCTGGGAATATTTCTATGAATACATCTTAGGTTACATTTGCTATGCTATGGTAAGCCTGTAGGCACCAGTATATATTTAGCGCCTCTTCCATATTGGTTGTTTTGTGGAGTCATCAGTGATGATAGAAATTTTTGCCTCTAAAAAGTAATGCAGCCTGAACACCTACTGTTCTGAGTGTTCAGAATCCTGAGTGTCTCTGAGAAGGATCAGGAAAATACAGCCCTAAATGCAAAAGCTATATCGTCCTTACTCAAACTTATTTCAAAGAATTGAAATACAAACACTAGCACAGCCATGCTTACCTGTGCCCAAACTCCAGAAAGAGCTCCAAAGAAGAGAGGTAAAAGTCAATCTGAGGTATACTCAGACATTAAGCAGGTGTGTAGAGAGGCCACCTAACATTGACACAGTTTCCAAAGAAACTCAGGTGTCCTGTTGGCCAATAAAGGGAGAGTTTTTCATTTTTTGTTAGTAAAAAAAGGAGTCTGCCCACAGGGATAAGTTGCAAAAGATAAATGAAGAGTTTGTGATATACTAGAAAACCCATTTTCTCTATGGTTTGTGGGCAGAGATAAAAGTTACAGGTTAGCCTAGATTGTTGGTTGCATAAGTCAGAATTTTCATGGGCCTAAAGACATGGAATCGTGGTCTAAGTTTTGAAATTGTCCTGAAATTCAAAATTTAGGGAAGCAGTGGCACCAAATCTTTCTGCCAGAATCTGTCAAGATCTCTTGCAGAAGAACTGGAGGACTGTCCTCATAGGTCCCTGGCATACTACTGAGATATAAAGTTGTCTTTTTCTTGTTTGTGACTGGCAGATGTTTATGGCTGGCATAGCCTGACTAGCAACAATAAACTCGACTCACTTCCTATGTGTAAGCCCTGTTTGTCATGTAACCACTCTTGTGTGAGAGATACCTGGAAAGGTAAAGGATATATTTGGTAAAATGCAATGCAAAAAAGCTCTGACATTTAGAAATAATCACATGTCCAACAGTCACTCCAGATAAAGGGGGGGTTGTAGTAGGAAATGGGCTATGAATCTTATAAGCAGTTTAGATGGGCTAAGAGGAGCTGTGAAATAACTATGTCTTCCTGTATATATCAATATCAAAAAATCCCTACACTATACTATTCCAAATCTCTAGTCACTTTGGAAAAAGACTCCGGGAACCTCCAAAGTTTTGACAATACCTTGCCCTTTGTTTTTCCAAAGCAGTGCAAATCATTTCTTTGGGGCAGAAGTGTCAAAAAACTACTAAGTCCTGCAAAATGATCAGAATTTCATTAACATTTCAAATGCTCTTTTTCACCATTTGAATCCCTGTCACAATGACTAAAATCTTTATAAAAAATCAAAACCTTTCCACTATCTTTCATGTTAATAATGAACACTGGATAAAGAAGGATCTCCCAAAGTGGTATTTTAATTAATACACTTTGCACTGTAACTAGCTTTGGGGAATTCAGATATGCTTGCACAGGGGGACTTTAAAATTTAAATATTCCTAATAAGCTTTTTCTTACAGTTAATGTTAATTGAGGACTACAGACAAGAATGATTACCCTCCTACTAAAATAATTCCTCAGTTGAATTCCTGTAAGAATGCCTTTTGTTCTTTTGTGGATTACAGTCACAATTTATATTCAGGAATGGAGTATTGTGATTTTGATACTAATCTTTTTATCTACCCTCTTTTTTTTTTTTTTTTTTTTTTTTTTTTTTTTTTTTTTTTTTTTTTTTTTTTTTTTTTTTTTCCAGCACAGTTGTATAGTTTTTTTTACTGTGGTTGTCCCAGATTAGACAGAACGAGACCAGAAACCACAATACAACTTGGTAAGCAGTACTGGAGTAAACAGTTTTTGCTCTCTCAGAACATGAATTGCTCAATTTATAAAGCTGAGTCTAAACTGAAAAAATGAGAGTAAATGAGTTATAATAATGCCCAAACAACAAAGAAAATATGAGTTTAAATTCTAGTTTGCCAGCTGTTGGGTAGATTTTCTCAAACTGAGTAGCCAGTAATAGAAGGAGACCAGGGACTGTGACTTTATGTAGTATCTCTGCTGTTTTCTTATTTCCATATATTGGCTTTTGCAACCTGTGTAACTGTCTTTATATGTTGGGATATAATTTTTTACAGTTCTACTAGCAGGCTAATTCTTAAAAAATAAGAGGGAAATTCAGAATACA